AAATGATGGACGAATGTTGCGCATTTGCTGCATTTCTTTGATTACATATGTTTCATACAATTTTGATTCGTATTCTTCCGGAATTACTGCTGAAACCATAAAAATAAGATAAAAGTAATTATGTCTCTTATTACTGGTCGTAAATTCATGATTAAAATAAATCGAAAATTTTTTATATCGCTTTAGCAAGTAAGTTATTACTCCGTGTTTGTGGGCCTAAATCTTCAAATATTGCTTCTGCTGCTACCATACCACTCTTCATTGCGTTATGAACACCTTTCATACTTGCTGGATTCAACAGTCCTCCTGCACAACCTATCAAACACGCACCAGGAACAGTTAGCTGAGGTATAGTTTGATATCCACCTTCATTGACGGCTCGAGCACCATATGCAATCCTTTCTCCTCCTTCAAGGTAATGTCGGATGGATGGATGTGATTTATATAACTGGAACTCCTTGAAAAACGACTTTCTGTTATTTCAGTAAAATAATGCAAAAATTTTCAAGGAGTCCAAAATATCTTACTTATTAAATATACATTTAGCGTATCAACTTCAACATTACCTCATATAAATTTATGTACGGATTTTTATAGTTCAAATTTATTACAAAACCAAGAGATACAAGTGAGTCTCCTTTATCTTCAATGTGATACATAAACGAACCACCATGCCTTCGATAGTTCTGAAAAAAATGCACCAGGTCATATCAATATTACAAAGACCTGACCTCCTGCAAAAACTTTTCTACATATAATGTTATAAAACTAGAGCAACAACTTATTGATTTAACAAAACAAATGAAAAATCTGCAGAACGTAAAAATCTTACAAGTGGATATCCGATAGTATGTTCTATGTATCCGGGTCTATGTTTTGACTTGTCAATTAACCACAGTTCTTTGAATCCAAGACCAAAAGTCATCGGACTACGCTCTTCATTTAAACGATACTTGAATTCAGAAAAAATGGTTACTCTGAATAATTTTCGATTATGTATCTTATTTGTAACATATAATTTACCTTTTGCATAATAAAATTGGTAAGATGACCACGGCAACCTTCAGCAAATATTGTACATTTAGCGTGCAACTCCATTCCTCGCTCAAAATTTTCCTAAAAACTAGTAATGAGTATGAGAAACTGAAGAAAACAAATGAAGAAAACTTTTAATTCAATCATCAATTCTGAAAGTATCCCCTCTTTTTCGATACAAAAATCTAAATACGCGATTCTCAGATAATTTGACAACGTAATTGTACTCATCAAACTAGAGCTCATTTCATGAGGGCTTTTTTTAATGTACTTAATTAAGATGAAAATAGTAAATCAAGCTAATTAAGTAATTCAAATAATTCTGAAAAACATCTAGTGTTTGAAACAACCTTCGGTGCACCATCCTTCGCTATTCCAACGTCAGCCGTTGCTATACCTTTAACACTTTCGTCTTCATGGAATAGTATTTCCTGGGCTCCTGTTCCTGGATAAATTTCTACTCCTAATTCTTCTGCCTTTTCGCCCAGCCACTTTACTAAATGACCTAACCTAAATACAAGCAAGTTAAAATACGTGAACATAATGTCATAATTTTAAACATTCCACATTTGCAAAACACTAAATCTGATTCAAAAAACTAACCTCACGATGTAATTCTGTCTGTTACTAAGTGGATTTCCTTTCATGAGAGGTATATTGTATCGTCCTTTTTTAGTTAAAAATGCCATAGACTCGGACTATAAAACATGTAATAACAACTGCAACTTTACACTAGTACAAAATAAGTGTTTATAGAAGATACCTCTAGAAAAATTAACTTTTAATACATACAGTAATTTTCTGATAAACAGGCGCACCCATTTCTTTCCAATTTGGAAAAAGTTCATTTAAAGGTCGAACATCAATTACTGCACCTGACAATGTGTGCGCGCCAATTTCTGCTCCTTTCTCCACTACGCAAACACGTATATCTAAACTAATAATTTGGAAATACTAATCTGCAGCTGCACTTGATGAAATGAGCAAAATAACTTAATTAAAATGAAAATGGTAAATTAAGCTCTAAAACCTAAATTAGCTGTTCGAAATATCATACAAAAATCGAAAACAAGAAGACAGCAGAGTTTGGAGTACAATCTGAACAATAGGTAAAAGTAAATTTTCAATGAATATACTCATGTGCTTACCATTATTTGCTTGCTTGGCTAGCTGTTTGAATCTAATTGCTGCAGACAAACCGGCAGGTCCGCCACCTACAATTACAATGTCGTAGTTTTCTACTTCTCGAGTCATATCAATCTTACTCCATCGAATATCTTTATCCCTCGGACACTTGAGATAATGAGATGTCACCCACTGCCCATTTACAACGTGATGTAGATACTTGCTTGTTTGAAGTGCGCATCTCAAAGTGTGATGCATTCGTTTTAACTGCAAGCTTTTTACATATATTTCAAATAAACAATCAACGACATCAAATATAACACTAGTTTAAAAGATACTGCATAAAAAACCTTTCTGTAAAATGTGTATTAAACATCGTACTTGAAAGAAGTCGTTTTTTACCAATAATTTCTAATTAATATAAATTTTTCAAGTAACGACCGCTTGCTTTCTCAGTGCAGTCATATGAGATTAAAATCACTATCTGTGGTAACACCAGTAACGTAGCATTCAAATCACAAGACCTACTAGTGAAGACACCTTACTGACATTTTATGAATAAAGTACGTGTTTTAATTTTTATTCGTGTGGTATGGAGCTGTTACTGTCAACAGAAAGACTCTTTCGTAGCTTAATAGCAGCAGGTGGTTATCAAACAAACGCTACTAACTTTGGTAGTTCATAGTGTTATTAGTTACTAGACCGAACTAAGGGTTTGACAAGTAGTTTTCGTTAAATTTTGTTATCTTAGAAATAATTCCTATACTAAATTTAGTTTAGTTTAGTTGTTGATGTTTTTAGTTGATTTTTGAGGCAATTTTTTCACTCAAATGTAATGTGGTGCAATGTTATAGCTGTTGATTTTCGCCACATTATATGGCTTTTTTTGACGTCAATTGCTTGTTCGCAATATTTTGCTAATTAAAAGAAAAGATTCGATTCTTACAGTTAAGAAAGTTTTACTACGGAAGAATGAATTTAAAAAAAATGACAGCAATTAGTTGTGAAATTGAAGCAAACTTTGGTAACCTAAAAATTAAAACATTAAAATGACACTAAATTGTCTCGAGTTACGTGTAATCACTTCTTAATTAGTTACGTATAATTACCGTCAGTAACTTATGTATTTGTTACTTGGTTTCCCTAATGTACATTGAACTGATTACATGTAATTAAAATTGACCATGTTTTATTTCTAGCAAAAGAAACTGATGGCGGCGCGTCGGCGAGGAGTTGGAGTTGGTGCAGTTCAGCAGAAAAAAGATCTGCAGGTACATTACTTTGGATTACTCATTATTAATAGATGCTTATTTACATTTTTACGTTTGCTCTTAAATTCTTTCAAATAACAACGTTTTTAGGCAAAATTTCAAGCCAAAGGTACGGAATTAGCAAGTGAACAGTTGAGTCAATTTTCTCAAGAGCTTGCTATTTTCCAAACAAAGTTAGAAGATTTCGCTCACAAACATCGTGACGAAATCCGTCAAAATTCACAGTTCCGGCGACACTTTCAAGATATGTGTGCTTCAGTTGGCGTTGATCCACTTGCCTGTGAGTTTAGTAGTTAGAATTTATAGTATTGCAGCAAAGTGCAAAACGAAACATCTATTTGGAATATTTTCTTTTTACTGAATTTCACTATTTAAAGTAGAATAAAACTTAAGGGAATGTGTCGATTTTGTATATTTTTGTTGACTTTATTTTCTGATTGAGTTCTAGATTCATGTGAATGTTAGCAGTCTCGATTGTCAAATTTGTTGTGAATGTTAGCAGTCTCGATTGTCAAATTTGTATTAGGAATGACCACATTTTTTATGATTTTGCAGCACATTTATTGCCTTTGCATGGTTCTATTAATCTATTCAAAGTGTACTTAAAATGAAATTTTCAATCTAATTAGTTTTTTTAGCTAGTAAAGGTTTCTGGGCTGAGAAACTTGGAGTTGGTGATTTTTATTATGAATTAGCAGTACAAATTGTTGAAGTCTGCTTATCTACAAATCACATAAACGGTGGTGTGATGACTGTGGAGGAACTGAAGAATCGTCTCATACGTTCACGAGCACGAACACGTCGAGATACTATCACTACGTACATGCTAAATTTTTTACTGTACATGTAGATTTGAAGAAGCAAAATGAGTATTACAGTTTTTAAATCTGCTCCTGTAAGCAGGTTTGATCCGGAAAAAATTGAATTTTGTTCAACTAGTTATTCGAATTTGTTGGCAATTAATGATGAAAACTTCATGTTTTTGAAAACTGCAGGAAATAAGAACAGATTTCTGATGGAAATATATAATTTTCCAAGTTTAGTCATTTTAATTTCAGAGACGATATTTTGCGGGCTGTTGAGAAATTGAAAGTACTTGGTAATGGCTTTGAGCTAATTGCATTAGGAAGTGGGCGATTTCTGGTGCAAAGTGTGCCTGGTGAACTCAGCATGGATGATTCACGGGTTTTGCAGTTAGCTGAGGATGCTGCATATGTAACTAAAGTATGTTATGTTGTAATCCGCTTACAATTTTGTCCATCTGGCATGTTTTATAGAGACAATGAATAACATATTCACTATTTTCATTCACTAGATCTGATTTCATGTTAAAAAGTAATAGTTGATCGTAGGAACTTATCATGGATCGCTTACGTTGGGATGCAAAACGTGTGGAAATAGTTCTCGAACATTTGTTGAAAGAAGGTATTGCTTGGGTAGATGATCAGTCAACAGATACTGTTCAGTATTGGATTCCTAGTTTATTTCTGCAACAGCGTTGCCACTCTAGCAGTTCGACTAGTGGTTCTGACAGTATTGCATCTGCCCTCTATTGAGTTTTACTTAAAAGCTAAAATTTAAAAAGTAAATATGGGTAATTTTTTTCTTGTATATAAAATAATACTTGGTATAATTTTTGCTGACTTTAAATATTTTTGGAACTAGAAATCGTGTAAGATTTACCATCACACTATTTATCGAATTTAAAGCATTAAAAATTGTCTAATTTAAGAGGGTTTGTTCGGAACACTTTAGATATTCATGAAATGCGGAATGCATATTGGAATTCTTTCATGTTTGTTTCGTGACTTATCTTTCGTTTGTGGAAGTTAAAACTGTGGTAATCATTGAGTGTTAATTTAAAAAAATTGTTTTCATATTTAAGCTGTTAAAATTATGATCTCATTATCTTCACTGAAGTGCAATATCAAGAAATATATTATTAGGACAAAGCTACGGTTTTTATAAATATGACGTGATATATGTTGTAGTACAAGTTTCCATGCTTCTGTATTTTAGTAGTTGAATTTCATATTATACTTATGTGCATGATTATAATACCTGTGTGAATATTTAATCTCAAAATTTCTCTTCTGTGTAACTATAATACTTAGTGCAATGTATCAAGAAATGTACAAGATTAGCATTTTGTAAAAAACACAGATAAGTTTGTGCATGGGTATTGTCATTCCTAATAAATGCGGGAAAACTTCTGGATATAATGTAATTCGTTAAAATTTTTTTAGAATTTCATGGTGGTAGGAAGTAAATATTGGTATTAAGCAATACGAAAATAGTTATATTTCAGTTGTGTTAAGAACAGGTGCGAGTCTTTCATGATTAAAAGATATCTCTAGTCGCTGAAAAGGAGCATAATGACTTGATGTGCATCACTTCAGTATTCTTTGTGTGGGTCTCGGCCTCACTTTCAGGTGCAAAGGTTTCAGTTTTCTTACTTTCAATAGTTTAGATTTCTGGGACCAATGTGCAGTATGAAGCAGTTGTGCGAAGCGGCATTGTCTGGTAAAGCAGAAGATTATTGTGGGATATCGGTTCGGGCAGTTGATTTAAGTGTCGCGTGGTTAAGCTGCTCACCAGATATACAAACTTTTGCTGATCTCTCTTTTCGGCTTACTGTTATTCAATTGGGAAACTGATCAGTTCGCAAAATGTTACCTTTCTTGGCAAAATTGTCTGACGAAACCCTTGCACTGGATATAAATGCCTGTTCATAATAATAATTAATCTAAAATATATTATGAAAGGTGTTAGCTGCTATGCTCACTATGCAATATCTGTCAAATGTATAGTGAAATTTGATAGCACATTGCTTTTTATAGTGCAGTCACTTTTAAAAATAGAAATGGTAAAAAGTGAGGGAAGAATTTTAATTACATTTTTGCAATTTATTTTAAGCAAATGCTCTTAGACCTCACTTGTTGAATTATCAAAGTGATTCACATTACTGACTTAAGACAACTCAACAATCAATTCGTATAGTTAAGTTAATGAACATCAATGACAGAAGCCTTATTTTCTGTTTCTAGTCTTCTTCACTTACTGACTGAATTGAAGTGTTGCCTTGTAATGGATTTCTAAATTTTATTGCTAATGAAACTTATCTTAGTAATAAGATTTGTAAGAAATCAAAATTAATTTTTGCTCTCCGTTAAAGAAGATGCAGTTTTTTCATACTTTTTACTTTTAAAGAAACTGTTTTTACTCAAAGAAATTTTACTGTAATTAAGTAAGCTTTCATTACTTCATGAAATCTGATGAAGAACTGCTGTAAAAAATTGTGGATTCTGATTATTGAATGATATTTGCTATTATTTATTGATCGTTTTCGTGAAATCTCGACACTATCGACATTTATTTATAAGTTCTGCTAGTATTTTGAATAATGAAAAAGAATCTGAAAACAATTTTCTACGTAAAAAAGAAAAATCACGAGAATATGAAAAAATCTCATAGCATTCTGATTAGTCCTTTGGTCTTGATTACTGTATCTTTTTTGAACAAAGAAAAGTCATAATAAAATTATTTAGTACTGTTAAAGAAAGTTTACCTGATTTATATAGATGCAAAGACTAAAGCTTGTAAATCACTCAGTTCGATGAAGATACAAAGTCAAACGCTAAATCTTCAACAAAGCAATGCTCATTCCATCAATAAAAATGAAAACAGATCAATTCTTTCATCTTATATGCGCACGTGTTATGAATAAATGACCCGTAAAAATTAACGTAAAGAAAACATGAACTGGTTCTAATTTACTGAACAAATAATGATAGATTATAAAAACAAAATCAATTTGGGTTACATAACAAATAGCAATAAATAATGGAGTAAATTCAAATTACACACATAACAAACAATATTAAGTGGATAATAGAGGTCAAATATTGGAATCAGTGTCCGAAGGATTAGATACAAGCGGTGAATATGGAAGAGCGAAAGGATGCCAAAAGGTGCCATAATCCCACATATTCATATTATGTAGATTTAATTGAGCAAAGGGAGAGGGACTTAGAACTGATTGAGATTCGAGTGAAGTTGATGACTTTGACAAATTGTGAAACATTGTTCGAAAAGTATTTCCAGAATTTAATGACCGAAGCAGCACGGAATCTGAATGGGTTGATGAATTTGGTTGATCGGTGAATGATTTAGAACTGAGTGGATAGGAAGGTTGTCCAGTTGATGATGAAGATGGAAAATCAACTAAAGATGGAAAATGAATTTGACTTGGTAAAGATGATGTGCTTCCCCAATACGGATTGTATCCATTCAAAGGATTCATTGGCAAATACAATGGAGGTTGATAACTTGAGGATGGAGTTAGACTGCTAGCATCTCCTAAAATTTTGTGGATTTAGTTCGCATCACTTTGAAGGAAACAACAAACAGTTGTTTGCTTAGCATTTTGCTTTCTGAAGCATTCACAAATAAAAATTTTTCTGTATTAAGATGAAAAATATTAAACAATATAAGTTATGATAACTTTGGTAAAATAAAACTACGACTAACCATTAGGTAAATCAGTAGTGCTTTTAACCGTTCCACCACGTTGTCCACGTGCATAACTATTATGTGCTTTCTTCATTTCAATTATTTGCTGATTCTGATATGCTGTAACGGCTATAAATTCCATAACTTCATCGGTAAAACTTTTTACAAGTTGATACTGATTAGTGAAAATTGTTGAACCATCTAGACAAACTGCAGGAGTAGCATAAACTTTATGCACATAAAGAATTGGACAATATTTATGCATCGATGTAAGGACTACCTAAAATCATTGCTAATAACATATTTGCTAAAACTGAAATATGCAAAATATTTTTGCTAATTTCGAATCCATTATTATCCATAAATTATTTTGGAGCATGCAAAAACAGAAATTCCTTCGAAAATATATTGAAGTATAAGTAAGAATATTTATAACAATTAATAAAAATGCTAGCAATATCAGAATTACGTGAAGTAATTAATAACAGTGATAAAATACTGAAGATAATATGGAGTGATTAATAACAGATGTTAGATTGAGTACACTGCGCAGTGCTATTTACGAATGTGAATAGATAGCACTTGCTGAAGAATACAGCAAAGATAGTTCTCGAGATTATTCATATTTATTAGGATGATAATTTGTATTTATCTGCTTATTGCTCTCATTTAATCTTAGGACGAAGAAATTAATACTTCTTAATATGGGAAGAATATAAATAATGAGTGCAAAATCAAGGAAAGCAGATAACACTCACAGTAATCTGTTGTGAATGTGCATCACTTCTTCAAACTGTAAATAAAAATTATATGCATTTGCTTTAAAAATGTAAATTTGCACTTCAAAGTAATCCGTGATGTCATAGTAACAAAAATAAACAATAAAATAAAATATTAATTACTAAAAAAAATGAATAATGATAGAGAGTGCCTATTGTTGAGACATTTACTTATATATTTATATTATTTTACTTATACATATATATTATTATCATGAAAGGCATTTGCAGAACTTTTTATTTTATAGACTCTGTCAACGAGCAGAAAAAGACGTACAAATAGTTATTCTTACAGATAGTACTTGTTTATTACACATTATTTACGACGTACACACCTGCTCAATTTGTTACTCCCAAAGGTTAAGTTACTATTTTATCTAAGAACAGAACAAAATAGATTTCTGTGCTAGCCAGTTAACTTACTAACTGATTAACTGATTAACTGGTTAACTGACTAACTAGCTAACTAAATAACTCTTTCCTTCCACTAAATCTTTTATTCCTTTACAAGTTAGCAGGAATATTTGCTAGCGCTTATACATATCAAAAAACTGATTGCAGTTGAAGTTAGTTATTCATTCATAACGCATTATATATATGAATAACGTCAATTTTTAGGATTAATTTTTAATTTCAATATTTTTCTGAGTAAAAATAATAAAATATTAAACTTTGCTGTATTTATTTACATGAAAGTATCACATATTGAACTCTGCAGGAGATTGTACTGGCTAACAGCTTGAATAATTTTCATTTCCAATACCAGAACTGAATAAGATTATAGTGACGAGTTCTTACGTTGAAATAGTCTTTTGGATTATTAGTAATTTTAACTTTTCCAAAACGAATATCGTTACTCATCCAGTATTGTCCAGTTTGTGTAAAGCCATTTTCAGGATAGATTGGCTTTGTTTCACTCTCCGGCTCGCCTCTTCCAGCTTTGTGCCATTCACCACCCGTATATTTATACCTTAGCAATTGAGGTTTTTTCTTAAAACTAATAAGTTAAGTTAAATCTAATGCGTTTATATGGT